AAGCCACCAGGGTTGATGCCACCAGGGTTGAAGCCATCAGGGTTGACATCACCATGGTTGAAGCCATCGGGGTTGACACCACCACGGTTGATGCCACCACGGTTGAAGCCACCAGGGTTGAAGCCACCGGGGTTGGAGATCCCAGAACTACCGTGGCCGAAGCCATCAGCGATGGAGTATTCAGGATTGGAGATGCCGAAGCTATTGGGCTTGAAGCCACCAGGACTGGTGGCCGTCACGCCGGTGGGGTGGAAACCATCAGCGTCGGCCATCTTGGAGCTGCCAGCCTCCAAGTCGTCACCCGTGGAACCATGGGAGCTGCCGCCCGTGGAGGTGTTGGCTGGGGGTTGGTCCCCACCGCCGTGATATTGGGCCACGAAGACGATGGAGCAGTGGGAACAGGCCACGAGCCAGAGGACAACGCTGACGGCCATCACCCGCCCCGGTCTTCTCCTGTCCTTGAACTGGAGGGGGAAAACGACCCCAAAGTACCTCTCGACGCTGAGGGCCGCCAAGAAGAGGCTGCTGAGGTAGATGCTGGAGTAGAAGCAGAAGTTGGCCACCGGGCAGAGGACAACGGGTAAGGGCCAAGTCTGGTTGGCGGCTGCTTCGGCCATCTTGAAGGGGAGGAAGAGGAGGAGGAGAAGGTCGGCGGCCGTCAGGTTGAGGAGAAGGATGTCGGAGGGGGAAAGGCGACGTCGGGCTTTGCCCAAGAGGGTGGCGAAGGTGAAGATGTTGGCCGGGAAGCCCACGGTGAAGGTGAGGATGTAGACGGCGAGGATCCACATGGTTGGAGGAGAAACCTGGGGGAGATAGGAGGACCCAGAAGAGGGTTGGGGGGTGGAGGTGGAGGGAGGACCCAGGTGGGTGCTGTGGGTTGGGGAGGAACCGAACACCTCAGGAGGAACTCAAGTATCCTGAGAGGAACCCAAAAAGTATCTCCAGAGGAACCCGAATATCTCCAGAGGAACCCAAAAAGTATCCCAGGAGGAACCCAAACATCTCAGGAGGAACCCAAATATCTCCGGAGGAACCCAAACGTCTCCAGAGGAACCCAAACATCTCAGGAGGAACCCAAAAATTATGTCAGGAGGAGCCCAAACATCTCCGGAGGAACCCAAACATCTCTGAAGGAACCCAAATATCTTTGCAGGAACCAAAACATCTCAGGAGGAACCCAAATATCTGAGGAGAAACCCAAAAAGTATCTCCGGAGGAACCCAAATATCTTTGCAGGAACCGAAATATCTCAGGAGGAACCCAATAAGTATCTCCGGAGGAACCAAAACATCTCCGGAGAAACCCAAACATCTCAGGAGGAGCCCAAACATCTCCGGAGGAACCCATCATCTCTGAAGGAACCCAAATATCTTTGCCGGAACCGAAACATCAGAGGAGGAACCGAAACATCAGAGGAGGAACCCAAATATCTGAGGAGGAACCCAAATATCTTTGCAGGAACCGAAACATCTCATGAGGAACCCAAAATATCTCAGGAGGAACCCAAACATCTCCGGAGGAACCCAAACATCTTTGCCGGAACCAAAACATCTCAGGAGGAACCCAAAATATCTCAGGAGGAACCCAAACATCTCCAGAGGAACCAAAACATCTCAGGAGGAACCCAAAAAGTATCTCAGGAGGAACCCAAAAAGTATCTCTGGAGGAACCCAAACATCTCCAGAGGAACCAAAACATCTCAGGAGGAACTCAAAATATCTCAGGAGGAACCCAAACATCTCCAGAGGAACCAAAACATCTCAGGAGGAACCCAAAAAGTATCTCAGGAGGAACCCAAAAAGTATCTCAGGAGGAACCCAAAAAGTATCTCAGGAGGAACCCAAAAAGTATCTCTGGAGGAACCCAAACATCTCCAGAGGAACCAAAACATCTCAGGAGGAACTCAAAATATCTCAGGAGGAACCCAAAAAGTATCTCAGGAGGAACCCAAAAAGTATCTCAGGAGGAACCCAAAAAGTATCTCTGGAGGAACCCAAACATCTCCAGAGGAACCAAAACATCTCAGGAGGAACTCAAAATATCTCAGGAGGAACCCAAACATCTCCGGAGGAACCCAAACATCTTTGCCGGAACCGAAATATCTCTGGAGGAACCCAAAATATCTCAGGAGGAACCCAAACATCTCCAGAGGAACCCAAATATCTTTGCCGGAACCGAAACATCTCAGGAGGAACCCAAAAAGTATCTCAGGAGGAACCCAAAAAGTATCTCAGGAGGAACCCAAA